AAGAGTGTTCAATGCAGTGCTTCATGCTAGCATGTGAGAAATGTGAGCAATAAGCTATTGGCATTTTCTTGGTGTGGGGAGGGTGACAGAGGTGCTCTCCTGGAGTATTTCCCTATATGCTATTGAAAATGTTTGTGGACAACTGATGTTCTTTCCATGGTAACTCAGCACTGGATCCAAGGTGATGAATTCTGCCTTCTATGAAGGTGCTTGAATATATTTGTAATTATTTTAAAAATAGGTTGGTAGTAAGTGGAATCAAAATAATAAAGACTCCCTAAAGCATACAAAGATAAAACCGAATTAGGAGAGCATAAAAATTGCACATGAGATACTTTGCTTATGAATCATAGAATGATTTGGTTGGAAAAGATCATTACCTGTCCACTACTATATTATGTCTCTAAGCACCTCATCTACCCATCTTTTAAATACTTCCAGGGATGATGACTCAACCACTTGCCTGGGCAGCCCGTTCCAATGCCTGATAACTCTTTCAGTGAAGAAAATTTTCCTAATATCTAATCTGAACCTCCCCTGGTACAACTCGAGACCATTTCATCTCATCACTTGTTACTTGGGAGAAGAGACTGATCCCCCACCTTGCTGCAATCTCCTTTCAGGTAGTTGTAGAGAGTGATAAGTGTAAAGCCTCCTTCTGTACAGGCTAAGCCATCCCAGTTCCCTCAGCTGCTCCTCATAAGACTTGTGCTGCAGACCCCTCACCACCCCTTCTCCTGACACACTCCAGTCCCCTAATGTCCTTCTTGTAGTGAGGGGTCCAAACCTGAACAGAGTATTCATGAAAGTTGTGACCTTACCAGTGCTGAGCACAGGGTAAGGATCACTTCCCTGGTCCTGCTGGTCACACTATTTCTGATACAAGCCGGTATTCGGTATGCAGCAATTCCTACTCATCATGTTAGCAACTTTCACACCTGGCCCTGTACAAAATGCACCATATAACTGTGATGTATATATGTGCATGCATCACATTCTTCACTCTTGTACAAAAATGTACTAAAATTAACCTTAATTCCAACCTCAGTGACATCCACATAGAAGCCTGTTAAAGGTTGTTGTATTTGCAGTCTGTGATGCTATAGACTCTCTCACAAGTCAACATGTAAAGTATATATAATAACTGCCTCTTCCTATCTAAAATGTTTTGACATATAGGTTTATTAATTTAGAAGTGTCACTTCAAGTTGATGGTAGCTCATCACATCTTCTTGTAAAACAAACTGCATGGCAAATCAGTGCATGCGCAGTATGGAGCTGCCAGCAGAGGTGTGCTGGTCAGGTACCTCACCTCTTGCTGTTGTGTAACCAACTACATCAGCAGAAACCTGTACCATAGATAGGTCTTTAGCTTGATCTGATTGAAAAATAAGATTTTCATCCTTCAGTCTTGAAGGAATTTACATTAAAATCAAGTGTTGTCCTGACTTATGCTGAGGACAATTAATTTTCATTAGTTTAATTACTTAATTTAATTAACCAGGACTGGCTAAGTCCTAATGATAGACGTACACCCTACATGATTGAAGAAATGGGTGGCAGTGATTGACTGTATTTATTAACAGACAGAGATCACTCATAGGGATCACTTAGAACTGTTCTGAATTTGACTTGAAGTTATGCTGGGAATTGCTAAAATACCATCTGTCTTTAAAATGTTGCCATTGTTGTTTTTTTGTTGTCCTGATTTTTAAGAGTTGTTTGAAGAATCTAAATATAGTCACATGTTTTACCACATCGAGCACAAGGAAGCCTTCACTGGCTAGTCTTTTGATGCTGCTGTAATAAATAGAATCATTAATGAACACAAATATCATCATCCATGCTCAGTCATTTTTGCTGCCTCCATAATGATGCTAGAAGACTGGTGTGCTCTTTTCCTAACTCCATATCTACAGTATATGCAAGTACATGAAATCACTTTAGAGAAGCATTTCAAAGTACTTGTGTGTAGTGACCCCTAGTACAGATCACCTGATTTTTTTAGAACATCCTCTAAATTGTCATCACTTCCTTCCTGGCCTAAAGTGTACAGCCTGCATTTCCATGTGCAAATGGACATTTTGCTGTACAGTTAGCCACACAGGGCTAAACGTGTATAGTGTTGTGCATGACTGTAGTTAGCTTGACACTTTTTGAAACACTGGTATCTGTCTGTCTGCTTTAGCAGGACTGTTCTAGTATGCTGGTCGTCTTATAGGATGGATGAAGCAGTGACTTTTCCACCATTTTAATGTATCTCTCTACTTTTACACTGCTTGGTTAATAAGGCAAATATCTTTCTGCTTTGCATTTTGTTTTAAGTTTCAAGTTTTTTGGAGCCTTTTATTTTGCCCTGCTCTTTGCAAGGAAGTAAGAAGTGTGATAGGAAGGTGTGATTTTTAATTTACACCAGAGTTCTCAACAAATAATGACTTTTCACACCCTGTTATTGCTGCTTAGTCTGGGGGAGGAGTTGTATGGCTACTGTTGTCATATCAAATTAAATCCACTCATGTAATTCAGAAAGATACTCCTCTTCAACTTAACCCTTTTAAGTTGCTGAAGTCTACTGGCACAAGTGAAGTGCATCCGTTTTGGGGGTCTCTGTTGTTGAAGGATGAAAACAGAAATGGTTTTATTCAAGGATGGTGCGCAGGGTTTTTTTTGCAGTGCAGCGGACCAGATCTGATGAGGTCTGTGTGGGTGAATCTTCATGTCAGCTTGGAGTTCACTGCAGGCTCAGGGTATGTGTGTGGATGCATTTTTAGCAAGAAAATATTTGGCCAGTGTTGCCAGACACTCATGTTCTCATCTGAAAAACTTACTTGAATAATTTTCCCAAATGTTGTTTGCTGTGGATTGCAAACATGGTCATGGAGCACTTGGTGCTCTTTTATGTAGTAGAGCTGAAACACGGAAACAAGAAAATAGCCCTCGGAGAGGGTCTACTGCTGTTAAGGATCTGGTAGAGTAGGACAAGCTTTGACATTATAAGTAACCTTCTCTTGAGAAGGTTGGTCTTGATTTTGGTATGCGTGTACCCACCTCACGCCTTCCCAGGGAGGGCTGGAGCCTGAAGCATGGGACTAGTAAATAACAGGAGCAGTAGTCCCCTCCCCTGCATTTTCCAGGAGCTTTATTGACCCTCATTTTTTTTAATTGACGTTTAAGTATTTGCTTGAGTACCTGCTTGGTGGTGCAGAGAGGGTTAAGGTGCTTGATTTACTGTAAACATATATGTGGCAGACTCTTATCTGATGGGGTTTTTTTTGTTGAGTTTTTTTTTCCTTTCTGCAAAATGTCAGCCATTTCCTGATGAGTGTGGTGGTGGTGAATTTCACACCTTTTTTCTTCTCTGTGTGGAAACCTGGGTGTTAATGGTACTGGGGCAGGTCGTGTTTTATAAGGAATGAGACTGTCTCAGAGCAGAGGGAAAGCAGGGAAGGGAGAGGAGGTGAAGAAAGGAATCCAAGGAAACTGCCACTTGCAACAGGCATTAGTTGGATTATTTTGCACTATTTTTGTTCAGAGCATGTAAATGTAACATTATTTGCTAAGTGCATTTTTTTCCATTAAATGTTGGAGATTACTTTAGAGTTCAGCATAAAAATAATCCTCTCTTTTCATTTCACAGTGAAATTTAGCATTGCTACACCTGAAGATGGAAAACTGGTCGGTTGATCAAGTCTGCAACTGGTTGAGACAGAAAAATTTAGGAGAACTAGTTCCTAAGTTCCGTGGTAAGCATTTTTGTTGTTTGTGGGGGGTTTATTTAGTGTGGGGTTTTTTGTTCCTTTAATTAGCACTGCCTACCTTGTTTTAGGGCATGTATATATAAGCTAACTTCAGACTTTGATAGAAATCTATTAGGGTGAGAACAGACATAGATCTGATAAATCAAAATAAGTGTGCAGATTTATTACAAAGTCTCCAAGAAATGCTGGGAGATGAGATTAAGCCTGTATATAAATAGATATACCTTCTTGAATCAGAGCTGGCAGCTTAAAAGGCTTGACAGGGCCTATTTTATATTGTATAAATCTTTTGAAATAATACAACTGTAAATGTTTTATATCTGAGTATATAAACACTCTACAGAAGAGTGCATGAGAGTCTGTTACATGAACAGGCTATTTGTTGTGTGCTTTCTTAAAAAGCTTGCTTTCCTCGATTAATAAAGTAACAGTTTTCTGTGGTCTAAGCAAGGCCTGATTTAAAGCATTAAAATAGCCAGGTCCATGCTTCTATATATTTCAAACTTGGCTTTTTGTCAGGGGAAGGTATCTGACCAGTGACTAGGACTTCTGGCACTGCTTGGGAAAGGGCAGTAGCTAAAACATCATATTTTTAGCAGTTGAAGGTAGTCAGCAGTAGAAAGCATCCTTGCCTTTCACCTGTCCACCATCATCATGTTTTTAGGCATATAGATTATTACTGTAAATATAAAATTATTTTACAGTAATTCTTTAATCCCCTTCAATCTGCAGAAGAAGAAGTAAATGGAGCAGCTCTTCTGGCTCTTAATGATCGTATGGTGCAACAGCTGGTGAAGAAGATTGGGCACCAGGCAGTGCTGATGGACCTGATTAATAAATACAGGCAACAAAAAACTGGGCTAGAATCCCTTACATACTGTTGTGAAACAGCTTCTTCAAAATCTCCAGAAGTAATCAGTGGGTGAGTTTATACATGACACAGAAAGTATCATTCTGGGTATAGTTATATTCTGTTCTTTGCATTTTAAAACTGGTATTTACTAGCTCTAGAACTGTTAAGTTGTAACTGTTTTTTATACTTTGAATATCTCTAACAACATGTGAAATGCAAATTAAGGTGATTACCTTGTGATTTTAAACATTCACGAGCAGCATCATTAACTAATTTAAATCGCTCTTCATTTCCAGTTCTAGGACCTAGTTTTCATTTGGATGAAGCATTGTCAAACTTTCACTAGCTAATTTTTTTTTGTATTTGTGATATTAAGCTTTTGAGGCACTTAATTTTAAATGTTTGCAAACCTTGAAGTAAAATGATTTAACCAGAGATACTGTTTGTTTCACATGTGTAATTAAATTCGGTCTCTCAGAGGAAGCTCTGAATTTGCTCTAGGTGTAAGCATTTAATAAGCCCACTATGTGGAACTAGAGAGATTCTTAGAAAAGAAATTCCACAGAGATTGTCTTCAAGGAGTATTTTTCTGGCTCTTGGTTGAGCAGTGTTTGCTTGTGGTTTCCTGGGGGAGGTGACAAAGGTTGGTTGGTCGTGGGTTTTTTGGTTGGAGGGGTTGATGTCGGTGGGTTGGGTTTTGGGATTGGTTGGTTGGTCCCTTCTATCCCTCCCCGCCATTCTGATCTATTGTAAGCCTTACAGGATTATTTTTTCTGGATGTCTTGGCTGAGGAGAGACATCCTGAACTCTGGGAGTGGCCTCTTCTAAGCTCAAGAGTTCTGAAAGTAGAGAATGGCTTGCTATGGATGCAAAATGCTCTTTTTTGAAGGAAAAGACTCTAGCACTAAGCCTGTATAGTACACAGCAGTAGCTCAGTAGGAGTAGATCAGTAGAGCATTCTCTGTAGGATTTGCCTCCACCCAAAAGGAGTCTGCATTGTGCACTCTCAGATGACTCCACAGTGCAAACCAAAGCATGGTAAATGGTGATTATTTGGTTATTTCCAACTAAATTGTACTCGTGAGCAGAATCAAACTGCTCACGTCCTCTTATCCTTGTGGAAGTATTTATGAAACCTCTTGCGTAAATGGTCCTGCATCACTGGACGGAAAGGGGGATACAAGAAGAAGACAATGTCACCGTGTGCATGATTTATCATGAATCTGAAGCATGCAATTGCAGCCAGTCTTGGTTCTCTGCGCCAGGTTCCTGCCTTACTTGATTTATTGGAAAATCCCTCTGGAGGTATCTCCTGTGAAGAAGACTAATGTGTGTGGGCCCTGTACTCCATCCAAAGTGCAGTAGTTGTATAGTGACTTCAGCAGGGGATTTCAGAATAAGAAAACATGTTATGCTTAGGGCAGTTTGAATGATGCTTTGGATATTTAGATTTCACCCTTGACTTCGTCAGGGGTGTTTGGCCAGACTGCATCTCAGGTGTGACTGTGTCCTGTGCATTTCTCAAGTTCTGCAAATCAAGTCTTACTATCTCACAGAGAGCATGCAGCTGCCCCAGTGCGAGGGCACCGCTTTTTTGTGAAGTTCTGAAGACTCAAAAAAAATTAAATGCTGGAAATCTCAAATATTAGTGAATATCATTACCTTAAAATCTTTACCTACCTAGTCTTCTTGCCTGAGAAATAAGATGCTGGTATTCCTCTATTTACAGGGAAGTCAGCTGCTGTTTCCAAAACATTCTGTTCATCAGAATTGAGAACCACAGAATAAAAAACAAGCACATTTAAGAAATGCATACAATCACGTATTTTAGGATGCATGAAAAATCAAGATATTCTATATAGTTTGGGGCATAGAATGATTAAAAGCTCCTATAGTAAAAATAGTATTTTGTTATAAAACTAAAAGCTGTATCCTCATATGCAGGTAGCTGTAACTGTCACTTCTTAACTCTGAAGTGCTTGTCTTAGTGATGTAGTTTGTTCAAGATGTACTGAACAGACAAAATAATTTCAAAGTCCTCAGAAGAAATTGTTCTTAGACCTAATTCAGAGACTCATGACTACAATAAAATGTATGAGACACTATTCTGAAGTAATGTAGTAAAATAATTTTCTTTGTAAGCTACTTTGACACAAAGGAATCCACAATATATTGTGGAACTATGAATTTTTGGTTTTGTCACGTATTCTATTGAAGTGAACTCACATCTAAGTGAAGTGAACTCACGTTTTCTCTTTTGCTCAGTGATACTCAGCTGAATTACAGTCTTGGTCACATGAGCAAAACCATGTTTTCTGTTTTGCAGGATTATTTCTCAGTTAGGCCAGTTCCCAGAACTAGCTCACTCTGTGAGTACCAGTGCTGGGGTGGAGAAGGCATTGCTCAGCCACAGGGCAGTGGAGAAAGCAGCACCATACTCATTTGCTGGGTCAGCTGAAACCGCTGTGGAGCTCCCAGGAGCTGTCAGCAGTACTTCTGCTGTATTTCTCACATAAATGCTACCCGCAGCACTTGTTGGTGCACTCCTTGCTGGCCACCTCTTTATCTTGGTGTCCTTAGCACATCTTCTAACTGGTGTGAATTGTGCTCTGCCCATCTCTCTGCTGAGATCAGAAATAAAGTTGTTGGTTGGACATGGAGTTTTGATTGTGGTAGGTGAACACTTTCAGTGTTGAAGTAATGGACTCATGAAAGGACACCAAATGTGACTTACATCTCCAGCAGTTTAGATTAAGACATGGAAATAGCAGCTTGTGTGTGTTGCTGGTAAGGTTGAAGCGTTCTGGATCCTGCAGTAGAAACTGTGTTTATGTGCATATGAGGAGTTTGCACAGATGTTACCAGGTAAATATCAAAATGCTTTCCAGTTTCAAAATCAATTGTTTCTAGCAGTCACATGCAGAACTTACTGGATTTTTCTGCTTTTAACTGTATAGCTGAGAAAGAGATGTATTGATTTATGAAAAAGAGAAGCTCCCGTTATAAACTTGGCAAACGTTAATGTCACTTCCTTTAGTAACCTTTCATGTGTGAGTGCTGCAACAGTTTGTAAAGCATCTTTGGAGTTCAGAGGTTCTGACGAGATGAGGTACAGAAAGCAAGCTAGCCACCACCCTCCCATCCTCCCCCCCCAAAAAAATGATTGATGACTGACATTAATTCTTTGAGGCATAACAGTAGCCCCTGTCTCAGCTCTGTCCCTTCCCCAGGGCAGGGTTAAAATGTTTATGGTGGCTTCTATGAACAAAACGAGAAGAAATAACAGGAAAATAAGGAGGGAGGGAGATGCACACAAAGGTTAACTGGAAAGCAACAATTTGGACCAGCACATAGATAGCAAAGTGGGTACCTGGAGTTTTTGGTGCTAGTGACAGGCTAGAGTTGTAGTAAATAACCAGGAACGGCGGGATGTGAGACTGGGTGACATTTGAGATTCTTCTAGAGTAGTTGGAGTAATGTAAAGCTGAGTTTAAGTTTCAAGATGGACTTAATCTCCAGGAAAAAAACAAGTATTCAACGTTCTAGTTAAATAGAAAGTGCCCTACAACACTGTGAATCACTCTTTCACCACAGCCCTTGCATATCGTAACAGTTAGCTGTTCTCAGAGATTAGGAGATGCCAGGCTATGAAGATGGCAGTTATCCTGCAACCCTAAGAAGTTTTATTTTCCTGGGTTTTGTAACTGTGCAGTAATTAGAACATCACTAAGCATTATTTACAGTTTTTCTTTTAACTTGTCAGTTTGATAATTGAACTGAGAGACTGATTAAGAGACATCAGCATCATCTAAAATGATGACTATTCAATGTTAAATTTTCTCCTTTTCTATTTTTGCCACTCTTTTCTATAAACTGCACAAAGCCCAACAGTGAAAAATCCTTCTTTTGTTGTTGTTTTCTTTATTTTTAAAATTTATTATTTTTATTTTTTTTTTCTTTCAGGGCTTCTGACAGGAGAATGTTAAATTATTCTGGTCCTGTGGAGCAGAAAAAATATCTGTGCTCAACTGAGAATGAAGAAGGACTAATTGATCACAGAGTACTAAAGCAAAAGTGAGTTTATAATGCATTTACTGTATTTTCCTTACCTTCTGAGAATAACATAAACACTTCTGTCTGCTTCATTAACACTAAACAAATACCTTATCAAAAGTGATCCTGATTATTGGAAGCCAAGTTCAGGTATATCCATGTATATTTAGAAAACAGCAGCAGAAATTTATTAAGATTTGACTGAATTAAATAGTCTAATGATGTTTTTTCTGCCCTCCATCCTCAGCCCTTGCTCAGTATCTCATGTGCAGAGGGCAAGGTACCAGGTTGTCTTTATTTGTCTGGTTCTTAAAACTCAGTTTTTAAACATGTGTTTTCAATAGCAATCTGGTAAATTAATCATTACAGGGTGGAATATGGCTGTTAAAAAAATTGTCTGCTTGACGCACCTTAAATACAGCACTTGGGAAAGTAGACCTGCGGAGTCCATTTGTACATTCATTTTCTTCAGGTATCAAAATGAGTCTCCCTAAAAACCAGAGGCAAGATGGATAATGTTTTGTTTTGATTTATTTCAGTTTTACTACACATACTATTCTACTTTGAGATGGGCAGTTAGTGTTGGAAGAACATCCTTTTTTCAAGGCATTTTTTCCTTGTTCTCAGAGCCTTGTTTGCTCATTATCCCTCTTTATTCCTGCCTGCTGTAATTCCTGCCCCCCCTTACCATTCACCCCCATAGATGTGGCTGATAGCTTTACAATTCTGAGATAAGGGGACATTTTTTTCCTGCAAAAAGTATCTATTTTATCACTTTAAACAAAGTAACAAGGAGTTAGGGATAATACTGTTTAGGGACAGAGGAGAGAGCATAGTGAATCACGTAGTTAACACTTTTTAAAAAGTCCTGCTAGGAGCTTCAGAAGAACAAAACAAAAAGCCCAAATCCAAAGATCCTGTCAGCATTGTTATCAATGAAAAAAACCCAAATCACTTAAATCCTCATAATAAACCATTAAAATTATCTTGCAATAATGGTTTTTAGCCTGTACTTC